AACCAGAGATCCTATCAATCATCCTATGTCTGATAGTGGTAGGTTAGTTGTATGATTGTGCTAGGTTAGTAGTTGCTAGGTTAATTGTCTAATGGTGCTAGGTTAGTTGTACGATTGTGCTAGGTTAGTTGTACGATTATGCTAGGTTAGTAGTTGCTAGGTTAATTGTCTGATTGTGCTAGGTTAGTTGTATGATTATGCTAGGTTTTTTTTTAATAAAACAACGCCCCGAAGGGCGGGGGATTGGGTTGGATCCCCAACCTGTACATAGATCAAGACCCCCAAACCGGGCCCAAAATATCAAACAGCTACAGTCAACATAGTCTCACAGTAAAAAATAAACAAAAACAGAAAATAAATTAATACAAGGTTTGTCATCGGGCTAACAGGTGCCCGGAATAAATGTATGATCAAATGAGAACAAATCTAATCTACTAAAAGCTGAAAGATGGATATCCAAGCTGGTCCATCCGTACCAGCGTGCGAAGGCAGAGTGGAGCAGTATCGGTCTGGAACATGTGAAGGTCAGGTGTGGTGGCGCCAAGGCTGGCAATGTAGTCAGCAGATCTGTTCCCCTCACGAAAAATGAGCGTAATCCTGTGATGGACAGACCGCAGAAGAGCTCTAATGCGCATAAGCGGGTGCTGAATCTGCCACGAGCCCTGATGGCCCGAGGTCAGGATGGTGACGACAGCCGCAGCGTCCAGCTCGATCCAAGTATGACTAGAGAGGTGGGCAGCAATCTAAAGGCCAATCTGTAGTGCATGAATCTCTGCGTCGTAGCTCGAGGAGGCCTGAAGGGACGTGTGGAAGGCGGTGATAAGGGCGCCGCTGTGGTCCCGGATCAAACCTCTTCCTCCGGCAACTCATGTCTGGCGATCGAAAGAACCATCAGTATTCAGCTTGACCCAAGGAGGATCGGGTCGAAGCCAAACAACAGCTCTGGGCCGAGGGGGTTGAACAAGCACAGGGGGGCCATCATGTAGCGGTGTGGTGGCGTGCAACCTGTCCAGTCTCGGTCCGTGAGCCTGCCCAAGGATGTGAGGAGTGAAAGATGTCTCTCTACCTGCAAAACAATATGAGAAAGAAAAAAAAGTAATATCCCTATGCTTCGCACTATTCCTTTCTGTCCAGGTGAACCAAAGTATCAGAAAAGGAATGAGGAAGCCCACGTGTCTAAAGTGTGTGCTCTGTGAGAAAAAACACAGGAGCTCAAAGAAACTGTCAGTGGAGGGTAGGGATATACGTGTCCAGGTGGCAAAGTGCTCCCACACTCTCCTCAC